GCCATGGTCTTTGCTATCACTTGTTATGCATCAGAGGGTTGGACAATGACCAAGGAGGATAGAAGGAGAATTGATGCTTTTGAGCTTAGGTGCTGGAGAAGAGTATTGAGAATACCATGGAGTGCTAGGAAAATAAACAGATTTGTCCTGGAAAGGGTTAAACCGGGTGGCTCCTTGGAGGCAAGGATTCTGAGGCTCTGTCTAACATACTTTGGACATGTTGTGAGGCGAGACCGGTCCTTGGAGAAGGACATCATGCTTGGGAGGGTGGAGGAACAGGGCAGGAGGGGAAGGCCCTCTATGAGGTGGATAGATTCAGTGACTGGTAGATTCAGTGACTGGGATAATTGGGATGGGAGTGTCAGAGACAGTGCGATTGGCACAGGACAGAGCAGAGTTTAGGGCTGTTGTACATAGGGTCGCTATGAGTCGCAGGCGACTCGACGGCACATAACAACAACAACAAAGCAGTGTTATGATAGGGAGCTGCACTGCCAATCTGCATGGGGCTCAACAACACTAACTTTTCTGCTGGAGAGAGATAAGCAATCTTCTCCTTTGCAATTTACTACTTCTTGAAAACTGCTGGAGGGTCAGCTATAGGTCAGTTCTGTCTCAGTGGTACACAACAACATACACATTCTTAGGTTTAACACTCACCCACAAATCTAAACGTTAGAGTTTTGTACCCACTTAGAAGCATCTCATAAAAAAGACTAGCAATCTGCTTCTGTAAGATTACTCGCTCACTTTCTCATGACCTTCCAGCAGGTTTACACAGGAGGCTGTGAATTTCCACAGCAGGAAATTGACCACCTTGTTCCCTGAGAAGCACTGGTGGATTCGAACCACCAGAGAGGTGTCAAATTTGGGTTAGCAACTCACTGTGAATCAGAGCTCCCCCTCTGATTACAGCCAAGAAATTCTACTGTGCAGTTTCATTCCCGGAGCACAAGTGCACCATGAGAATCAACTTGAGAGTAAGTGGTTCAGTTCTCACTGATTTAGAGTCACTGTGTAAGCCGACACCAACAGAGGAGTACCTTTAAGAGAGCACTCAGCAGGAACAAGGACCCCAAAATAGGACAGGGCGTGTGATTCCTTTCTTTTCACTACAATTCAATTTGCACTGGTTGTGTTCTGTCAAATCTGCACGACAGCAGAGGGGCAATAACACCATCTGTCCTAACATCCGTGAAGGGTATTTAAGGTTGCTAGGAAAAAAGGGTTTTGCCTGTATTTTCTTCCAATATCTGGGAAATGCAAGGTGGTAAATGAAGTTCTTTTAACAGCCCTCCTAACACGTGACTGCTAAAAAGTAAGCTGCAATCCTAAAACTTTGCCCCTTTCATAATTGGACTATGTGCAAAGCAGTCTAACAATCGAACCCTATTCCTCTGGATGTCACAGAAACCTAAATAGCATCCAGGTAGAACTTTTAATCTCATTTAAAACAGGGTTAAGCTTTCTTTCAAATGAGCTTAGATATCATTATCTACATAGTGAACAGTGAACAACTGAAATGAGAAACAGGAAACTTAGTTTTCTTCACTTTCAATTTCGAATTTTAACATAAGTAGCCATGGATGGTTAGTGGCTATTTTACTGCATGATACATTTAGGAGGTGCAGAGAGGAACACACTCATGAAAATAGATACAAAGAAACATGTTCAAGACTGTCTGTTAACATTCAGCTACAGTGACACTTTGGAGTTCAATGATTTTTAAAAAATTTATTTTGGTTCACATTGGAGTTAATTGATTTTCCATTATCATCAAAAATGCTGCTGTGTTTTAGGGGTGAATTACAGTTTCATTATTCACTTTTCCCACTGAGGGACAAGGTGGCGTTAAGCACTGGGTTCCTAATTCAGACTGTTCATCTAAATCCTCCAAGACACTCCAGGAGAGAGAGATGAGGTAATCGGCCTCTGTCAAGACTTGCAGACTCAGAAACTCTGTGGTACTGTTCTACTCTATCCTCCAGGATTGGTATGAGTCAGAATAAACTCAATAGTAATGGGTTAGTGACGGACAGGTGAGTCATTTTTGTCTTTTCTATTTCCAACAATACCGCAATGAACATTCTTGTACATAGTGCACACTGCTTTAACTTGGTGGTGTAGTCTGTAGCACACAGTGCTGCTAGCCGAAAGGGGGTGAGTTCCTGGCAGTTCCAACTCAGCAATGACTCAGAGGGAGAAAGATGAGTGATCTCCTCTCATTAAATTTACAGCCTTGGAAACCTGAGAGACGGTCCCACAGTCTGGATGACTCAACAGCCGTGGGTTTGCTTTTGTTGGTTTGGTTTTTTTAATGTGAATACCTAACCCTGAGAGTCAGCAAGGTTGAGTCACTTATCCAAAGATTATGGAAGGAAGTAGCCAAAATAGAAACTTACTTTGTAAATATCAAAAGTAGGATTCAAGTCCAGTCCATTAGACTCACAAGTTCATGTGTGTGTAGATGTATGTGTGTGTGGGTGTGGGGTTGGGGGGGGGTATGTGTGTGTACATGTGCGTGTGCATGTGCTCCTCTCAAAGTGAGGAGGAATACATGTCTTACAATGATGGATGGTCAGGGGCAGGTAAACTTTGAGTCCTTTGTAAATAAATGGAATGGACAAATCAGGGCAACTAAACAGAGAAGAACATCATGAAACAGAGCCATGCCACACATTTCTAATTCGGAAAATAAAAGTTTAAAGATATTGAATAAGTGAGGTCATGCTGGGAAAATAATCATGGTCATGTTTACAAGGAACTTGGAATTTATGTTAGTCAAAGAAAGTGTGAGCAAAGCAATCTGAACAGAGTGAACCAGATGATTCTGTCTACATAGACACACTCGCCCCTGCAACCAGTAAATATTTCTAAATGTAATTTATTCCCCAAAGGAGCAATAGCGTTCAGTTATTAAAGGGATCTTCTTATTAAAGAGGTCTTAAAAGTCCATTTGCTCCTACCTCTAGAAGAATAATAACAAAGTGAAAATCTCTCTCTCTCACTGTGGTCAAGTTGGTTCCTACTTATACGATCCTGCATCAAGTTTCTAAGCCTATAAATCAAAATACCCTGAGGGGACTCCCTATCTTGCTCCTGTAGAGCCTCTGGTTTGAGGTTAGCACTGCAAATGGCTATGAATATGCCACCGGAGCTCCCTAATTGAAAACAATAGGTTTGGGGGTTTTTTTTCCTATTTTATTTTAATAATTTTAATGAACACTTACAGAGATTTTGGATTTCCATTCATTCATTGCTGCATTTTTCTCCCTGCCCAGTCCTCCCTCCTGCCGCCCCCCTCCCCCGGCCCCAGTTTGCTCCTCTCTTTGAAAAGTAAAAGAAAAAAATCTTTCTTTGATATACAATCCCCCTGCACCTCGCCCACCGCCCCCAGTACACTCCACTATGCAACCTTAATTGTGGACTCTCGTGATAACCATAATACCCTATCATACATCACTTTTAAATTATTCTTTCCCTCATCTGTTTCAATGCAGTATACGCAATTTATCCAGTTTTTCTCAGTCTTACCCTAACCCTGATATCAGTCCCATCTTCCCACTAAAAAAAGGCAAGAGAATTCCCTCCTTCTCTATTCCCCTAAAATTTGCTTTGTTGTTGTTGCTGATTGCCATTGAGTCAAGCACAACTCATAACAACCCTATGAACCAAAGGCCTGAAGCCTTTCTATAACTATTGTCATTTATCAAAGTTCATAGAGTTTCTAGGGGCATGTTGCTTAGGAAGTAGATGGCACTCCTGCTTCCAAACCTCTCTTAAACTGGGAGCTCCATCAAACATTGTCCACCCTGGGTAACCATTAGGGCATTTGACACCCCAATGGCACAAGGTTCAACATCACAGCAACTCCAGGTTACCTCAGTACAGCGTATTGACAAAAGAATGCAGTACCACTTAGAAGAATATTCTTCCAAAACATAATAACAACTGACTTTTAAATACAAAGGCCCTCCCTAAGGTCTGTGGACAAGAGGCTTAAATAAAACCAACCAATATAGTATGTTGTTATTACGTGCCATTGAATTGCCTGCGATGTATAAAGACCGACCCTATGTACAGCAGCTCTGAACCCTGCAAGTTCCTTTTCTTTGCAAAATATAGAAAAACAAGGTTGTCTGCTGTAGAGCCAAGAAGCCACCTCTTTTCAATCATCAAGGAAAATCACACACCTACTTCTCAGTATCCTAGAAGGAAATTAGCAGAACTTCAGGTCAGGTGCCATAAAGATATTAGAAATCTAGGACTTCATCTTGAAATCCTTGGGTGGCACCAAAAAGGAAACACTCAACTCCAAGAAGAGGGTTATTCAGACTCACTCAGAGGCAGGTACTTCAAAAGGCAGGTCTGACGATCTGCTTCCAAAAGTTCACCTCTAAACCCCCATAGTTTTACTCTACACACACAATGTATTTATTGCTATGAGTCAGATTTGACTAGTATATAACAATTTTATCTTGAAAACATAAATATTATGTTGTACCACTTAGCTACTGAAAGGGTCTGATCCCTTTCTGTTTGCAAACTCTTTAGCCCAATGTCTGTCATATTTTGTTCTGATGCTTATTCACTATTAAAGCTTTTCTTTCTCTTTTTATATTTGTACATATGTTATGTAGGTTGGGAGTAGATTTTGGGTTTTGTAACTTTTTCTCCAATATCACTCAGCAAGAAGCTTAAATTCCTAACCTCATTTTAATGGCAGCTGAGACCTTCAGAGGTCCCTTGGGAAGTAAGTGGTTGAAGCAGGACCAGAAACCAGGTCTCCTGCCTCCTGGGATCACCTTGTTCTCCTCCCTCAAAACATAGCTAAAGGAAGGTATTAGAATTTTTAAAAGTTCCTATCTACCCAGCAGCTTTTAATAGATTGAGTCCTTTGCATATATTACCTTGTTTAATCTTTGTGTCAATTTTGTGAGTCAGATATTATCGCTATTGACAAGGGGAGTAAATGGGTTCAGAGAAATTAAGTAACTCACCACAGGTCAGATACTTGACATTGGAACTAGAGGCCAGGAGTATTGCAGCTCACCTTACAGATCTGAAAGGTAAGGAAATAACAAATAACATTAATAAAGGATTTGGCAAAGTACTTTCACATCACTGAAAAAAGAGACAGAAACAAACTTGTAAGAAGAAGAATATCTTGAAATTATTCAAGTTTGAATATTCATCCAAACACTATCACAAAGATGGAAGATGGTTAAATACTAACAAAATACTCTCTATCCAAACAGATGTCACTTCTGCAAGTGTAGGCATAGATAGCACTTCATAAAATTCTTGCATTTGACAGGGAGGAGTAAAAATGAAATTATTTTTCAATATTTAATTTTCATTTACAAAGATGGATTGTTATGTTGTTGTTGTTGTTGTTGTTATGTGCCGTCGAGTACAAAGATGGATAGTTCTGAAAAATTATTTTTAATATGTTCCTTCTTTTTTCCATGTACTACACACATTATAGTCAATTTGCCACAATATTAATATTTCCTCCTTCTCCTCCTTAACATTACAGGATATTTGCTGCAGAAGGAGGAGAGACTAGGGCATCTTTGTTGGTAAGTGAGGTCAAGTCAATTCCAATTCAGAGCAACCCCACAGCCTCCCAAATGGAAAAAAAAAGAACCTTGAATAATTTAAAAATATTATCACACTTTATTCCTTTCTTCTTATTGAGAGAATCCAAATTTAATGTGTAGCATATCACTTTTATTTCCAAAGCTATGTGTATCTGGTCTCCAGTAGGGCCTACTCTCATTATGTACACACAAAAAATTATTAATTGGTTATACAAATCTCCCCCCACTTCTAAAAGGAAAAAAAAAAATCACCCAAGCAAGCCCACTGCTCTCAAGTCCATTCTACCTTACCTTACCTAACTAATTTAAATTTGTTCCTTAGAATGCAATGCTATAAATAATGGACTTAAACCACACTGTTTGGAGCATTTTTGAATCCCGGTTTCTTAAAAAATAAAACCCAAAACAAAACAAAATCCAATTACTTAATAAAAAAGTAGGGCTGAATGTGGATAAATGTTGGAGTGGGTTGTTGGTTTTGGTGTGGTTGGGTTGGTTTTTTTTGGGGGGTGGGTGGGTTTCAGTCAAAGGAGGAGTTTTGCCAGAGGATTCTACCCTGTCGCCTAGATTCCAGCTAATGCTATTTCCCAAAGGTTCTTAGGCGCCTTCTTTACAGGGTCAGACAGTGATATAGAAGATGTGATTCATCTATTTTGCTTTTCAAAAGAGAACTTAAAATATACTATTCCTCCTCTCTGATTTATAATACCACCACTCCCGCCCTCAGGGTAAAGGAAAGTACAAAAGCTGCACAGTAATCTACCTACTAAAATATGACACATCCTCTCTCTGCAGCGTCACCGGATTTTAAAAGGCTGCTAATCCTGATTTTAAACTTTTTTCTCCCCAGTGGTGAGTTAAAAATCGGGCCACTCGATGTCACCAAATCGTAAAATGGAAGGTTAAAGAAATATCTTCCTATGTGGAAGGGGCCAGACCAAAATACTAAAATGGAAGAGAGCTCTTAAATTGTAGTTCTCAAAGCATTCCATGCGTGGTGAAAGCCAGCAAAAGCACAGAGGGTTTACACTATGAATTAGGGTACTCCCTAAACCTAAACCGAGCTGATCTCTTAACAAGAAAACAGAAACAGTGTTACACCAAAAGCAAAGTAGAAAAATACACACACAATACACACACACACACACACACACACACACACACACACACACACACACACACACCCCCAATGGACAGTTGTCCTAGGTACTGTCTCTACAGCACTCTGGCTCCCTCGTTCCGGGTTACACACGCTCTTCTCTCTAGTCCTGGTTGGCCTTCTCCATACAGTGACAAATGACTCAATGTCCCACCTGCCTTCAAACGTCCAAGCCCCTGACAACCCCGGAGCCCATCCGCGCACTTGCGTGCGTGCACACACACACATCCTCTCCTTCGCCCCGACCCCGCCCAGGAGGCGGCCCCCAGTGGAGACCAGCCCGGCGAGGCCTCCGCGAGGTGGGTGGTGCCCCGCGCCGCAGCCCTTACCGGTGCTGTCATCGCGGACGCCAACCCCACGTCCCCAGCGCAAACTCCAGGGGTGGCGGCTCAGCTCCCCCAGACCCCGAGTGCCCGGCCCCCGCGCTACACGCCAATGTGCACCCCGAAGGTGTCATCTCCCAGTTCCTCGCGGATCCCCGGAATTTAAATGGGGGCGGGTTAGAAGAAAGAGGAGGGTCCTTTTTTTTTTTTTTTTTTCACTTTCTGCGTCGTAATTTCTCCTGATCTACAGGCACGCGAGTCGGAGCAAAGGGGGGCTCCCATTTTTCAGGCTACTCAAGGCCTTTCCCAGCGCGGGGTGGGGCAATGTTTGGAAATTGGGCGAGCCCCCAGGAACGCTGAGGAAGCAGGCGGGAGGCCCGAGAGGCACCCCAGGTGCGCCCCGTTCTCGTCACAACCCCGCTGCCCGCGCCTTGCACGCTGCAGGGGCTGCTGGCGCCGAACCCTGATGCCCCTCGCGCCAGGCCCACAGCCCAAGGGGTCTCCCCAAGTCCTCGCACAAGGCGCCCCGCAGCCGCCGCCGCCGCCCCTCGGGAGCCGCGCGCTGACAGCCATACCCAGGAGAACGCGGCGGCTGCAGCTCCGCGGGCCCCTTCTCTTCGGACCTCTGGGCCCCGATCCACGTACCTTGGCCTCCGCCGCCCCACCTAAACGCCGCTCGGGATCCCGAAGGTGCCAGCCCCTCCGGCCCGGCTTGGGGTTTCTCGGTTTTCGGCGTCACAATAATAAGGAAGTTTCCCCGCAAGCCTGCGGGCGGCTGAATGCACGGGGTGAGTGACTCCTCCGCTAGCCAATGGACGTTATTCTGGTGTTAGTTCTCACCAATAGCGACAGCGGCGAAGCTTTCTGGAGGAGGGGCTACGAGATCCGCGGGTAAGGGGCGTGGAGAGGCCCAGGCTCAGGAGCGGGGCAGGGGCGCCGCGAGGTGACAAGACCTGCAGGCGAGGGGACTGGGACTCCGACTTGTGTCAGCCGAGATCGAACAAGGCAGAAGGCCGAGTCTCGGCGCTGGAATTCGAATGCTTTTTTTTTCTCCCACTGGCATGGAAGCAAGTGGATCAACGATTTTATTTCCCCCCAGATTCTTGGCTCCGTTCTTATTATTTCCAAAGAGGTGACCAAAACCCTTGAGCACAGTGTAGAGAGGGTGACAACTGAAGTTGGGTTATAAGCGTTGTATTTCATGATGGAGGATATATCATTCGCCTGCGGGAGGACGGTGCAAAGCACCAAGCCGAAATGCAGAGCTGCCAGCTGGAGAGACGGAAAGGTGGTTGATGTACCCATCGCGTGATCAGGGTTCTTTAGGAGAGTTGGAAGCCCCAAAGAAGAGGAAAGGATGGAGATTGGAGGGCGGTAGCCGGGGAAACACGAAAATAAGAATCCGTGAGCTTGCGATCTTAAATCTTCTAATCTGAAGGATGATCTGGGACCTAAAACCCAGCAATGTGGATAAAGAAGTTTGCCCTCCCCACTCTCACCGGCCCTGAGTCTCTAGAGCTTCCTCCTCCTCAAGGTCACGAAGCGCATTCAGACTTCCCTTGGCCACCAGATCAAGGGAAGCGCATTCAGACTACGTGAACCACAGAGAGTCTTTTGAAGAGCCCGTTCTCAGAAAGGCAACTGCAGGCATCTGCCCCCTTTAACTTAACTCTGAAATGCCCAGCCCTCTGAGGAGGTTTTGCTTTAACACAAAATGCTGCTTCTTGTGGAAGAATTTCTGTAATCAGAATTTCAAGTATCTGAATCACCCCAGGTCAGCAATCATCTGCTCTGAGAAATGAACACATTGATCTAGGGCGGGAGATGGGGCGTGGGGACGGGGTGAGGGCCGAAGTCTTGGGAAGTGATGCATACTGATGATGAGGCAATGCCCACTAGCATATGAAACCATAGTGAAATAGGCCTAAAGTGATATAAGAAAACCATACAAAACTTTGAAATTTGAATCACACTGAACATCTTTTAGAAACACTGAGGAAGGAAGAGACTATTTCCTTATGTTCCAAATATGTGTCAGTTTCCCCAAAATTCATGCTGGAAAGATAGCCCTAATTTAGAGATTAACAACTTCATCTTACTTGGATCCCCAACCAACACAACATGGCACCGGCACTCAAGAGATCAAGAGACATTCACTGGGAAAGTCTACAGTCAGGGACCTCTCTAAATTATTGAGGACCAATAATGTTTGAGGATAAAGTGAACCAGATTCAGGCCATGGTCATTTCAACCACTTGGTATGCATCTGGGAGCCAGACAATGAATAAGGGTGACAGAAGAAGAATTGATGCCTTGGAGCTCTGGTATTAGAGAAGAGAACTGAGTATCTTATGAACTACAAAAAGAATAAACAGATAAGTCTTGAAGACGTGCAGCCAGAGTGTTTCCTGGAGGCAAAAAATGCTTAAGCTTCATCTCACATACTTTGGGCATGTTGTAAGTGTGGCTAACCCTCAGAGAGGGACATCATGCTTAGAAAGGTTGATGAAAAAGAGGAAAATCCTCGGACAGATGGACTGACACAGTAACTGCAGCAATGTTGCTGTTGTTATTGTCATTGTGTACCATCAAATCAGAACCAGCCCATTGCTGAGCCCATTGAAAACCCCTCTGGTGGGTTTTCAGAAGCAGTAAATTGCAAGGTAGGATGCTGCTCATCTTTCTCAGCTGTTGGATTCAAACTTCATGCATTGTGATCATAGCACAGCTTCTCTAACTGCAGCAATGGGCTCAAGTATGTCAGAGATTGTGAGGATGGCACAGTAAAGGACAGAGTTCAGACCTGTTGTTCATAGGGCCACTATGGATTATACTTGATTCAATGGCATCCCACACCACCACCACCAATTTGACTTAATATTATCAAAGAGCCCTTGTGGTGTAAAGTGTAGCATGTTTGAGCTACTAAAGTACTGATATTGTTGATGATGATGTTAGGTGCCCTTGAGTTGACTAAGAAGGATCATCCATAAAATCCTCCAGTTGAGCCCTCTATTGCTGTCAGTGTATCAGTCCATATCACTGAGGGTTAGCTTCTTCTGCTTACTCTCTACTTTTCCAAACATAATGCTTTTTTTCAAGGAATCTCCTTGCAACATGCCCAAAGCACATGAGATGGAGTTTCACCCTCCATACCTCATTGCACTTCCTTCAAGACAAGTTTGTTTGGGATTTTTGGCAATTCTTGCCAATGCCACAATTCAAAGACATCAGTTCTTCTGCTAACTAAAAGTTCAGCTGAACTCAACTCATTACCATGGAGTCAGAACAAACTCACTACTGACCCTCCAGTGAGTTTCAAAGGTTTTAAATCACAAGGGAGGAGATTTCCAGTCTTCCTCCCATGGAGACACTGGTGAATTCAAATCATGAGAGGTCTGATAATGGGATCATTCTCTGGACGAGGCCACTAAAGATCCCAACTAACAGGTTGGCCAGTTTCAATCCCGTTTAACCTCAATGAGCATAAGAGTCATAGCTTTGGCAATAGGAAGGAAAGTTGCCATGAACCAGAAGTTTTTATCTTTCTTCCCCCTCCCCCCGCCTTGTTTTTAGTATCTCCAAAGTGAGGTGAAGGCATAGCCAAAGAAGAGTCATGGCAGGAAAAGGAGTACTTGAAAAGGAGAAACTGAGATTTTTATAATCAATGTTTGGTTCAATACAAAAGCTGAAGTTTTTCATATTAATTTCCATCTTAAGAGAAGGATTGGTAATCAAAATCTCAGGTATGATAGATAGAAGAAATGAGAATTGATGTCTAAATTACAAACTACGGTACTGTAAATTTTATTGCCAAGTGAACAGTCAAAACCATGGGAATTTACTCATATAGAATAACCAGTGAAGATACATAGAGTACTTCATTTTAAATGAACCAATGTAAAATGGTGCTTTCCTCAGCAAGTAGCTCCTCTCTTTACCAAAATGGTTTAAAATGGCCCCAGTAACAATAAGTCATAACATCCACTGCTAATACGTAGATTCTAACTCACAGCATACCTGCAGGATAGAGTACAACCAGTCCATAGTGTTTTCAAAGCTCTAACATAAAAGGTATTCTATGTCAAAATAGGCAGAAAAAAATACGTCACCATTAAAGAGGCCACCAGCTGTTCCACAGGATAAGGATGAGCAATCTCCTCCCGTGTGATTAACTGCCTCTGAAAACCCCGTGGAGGATTAGCTATGTCAGTTCTGACTTGATGGTACACAACAGCAACAACCACTATAATGTGTCAGAGACTCTTTGGGTGAAGACATAAAATAGTGGAAATCCTTCTATAAGTAGCAGTATAATTACTATGACTACTAGGGAGTGTTGGTAGCCTAGTGATAAGAAGCTGTGCTACCATCTCAGAGGCGCGTAGTTCAAATCCATCACCTGCTCCATGGGAGAAGTATGGGCAATTTCCTCCCCTGTGATTAACTGCCTCTAAAAACTTGCTGGGGGATCAACTATGGGTCACTTCCAAGTTGACAGTACACAGCAACACAAAAGCAGACTGCCATATCTTTCCCGTGGAGTTGCTGATGGGTATGAACCACTGACCTTTGTGTCAGCCATTGAGCATTTTAAGCACTGTGCCTCTCATGTTCATTGTCATTATAGCACATATTTAAACTGGTTAAAAGGTAATTGTTTACTTATTTCCCTTTCCTCTCTATATTCTTGAACTTGCAAGGAGTATGGTTGTTGTGGTGGTGGTGGTAGTTAATATACCATCAAATCGCCTGTGACTCATAGCGTAACAGTTCTGAACCCTGCCCTGTACTGAGCCAATCTCACTGACTCTGACACACCTATCTCCATTACCCCAGTAACTGTGTCAATCCATCTCAACCAGGGTCTTCCTCTCTTGCACTTGCCCCTCCACCATTCCCAGCATGATGTACTTCTCCAAGGACCATTCCCTCCTGGCAACATGCCCAAAGTATGTCAGACAGAGCTTCAAAATCCTTGCCTCTAAGGAGCAACAAGGTTTCTCTCTCTCTAGGACCCACCTGTTTACTCTCTTGCCAGCCCATGGTGTGTTCAGTGCTCTTCTCCAGCACCACAACTAAAAGGTATCGATTCTTCTGCTTTCTCCCTTAGTCATTGTCTAACTCTGTGATGCATAGCAAATCATTGTGAAGACCATGGCTTGGATCAGACACACCTTAGTCTCTAGATTGACATAATTGCTCTTCAGCATTCTGGAAAGGTCTCTGACAGCAGATTTTCCTAATGCAATTTGTCTTTTGATTTCCTAACTGCTGAGGCCAAGGGTGTTGACTGTGTTGACAACCTCAATCTCCTCCATCTATCCTTGTGTTGCCAATTGGCCCAGTAGTGAGAATCTTTGTCTTCTTGATGTTGAGTTTCAATTCATTTTGAAAACTATAGTTCTTGACCTCCTGTAGCAAATGCTTCAGGTCCTCTTCCATTTTAGCAAGAAAGGTTGTATCATCTGTATAACATAAGCTATTGATGAGGCTTCCTTCAATTCTGATGCCACATTCCTCCTCATAAAGTGTAGCCTCCCGAATCTGTTCTGCATCTAGATTGAAAAGTTACAGAGAGGACACATCCCTGACTCTTTTTCTGACTTTGAACGATGCAGTGTTTCCTTGTTCTGATAACCAATGGCTGGCACTTCAAATCCACAAGTTGGGCATATCTGACTGTATGTTTCCATAGTAGTTAACAGCCTTGGAAACACTATGTGGCATTTTTACTCTGTTCTATGTTGTCACTCCACCTTGAAGTCTACTGATGACAGTGGGTTTGGGTTGGGACT